AATGTGTATGTCCAGAGAGTGATCAGTCCACATTGTTAGCCCTTCTTAGGGAAAAGTTGATTCAGAAAGCTATGAAGGCACACATGATTTTCATAACAGAATACAGCTGATATATAACAAGACAAGTAACACCAAAAACTCCTTGGGATTTGGCTTCCTCTGGAGGAATTCCCTGATCCCTCCAGGTAGTGACTTTGCCGTAACCAGCTGAGTTCTTATGATATATTCCTGCGGCCCGCAGCAGAAAAATCTCTGCTACAGGGAGTCTCTAACTGCTCTCTGTGCACAAAGCAGGTAGATTCCACCCCTTCCCTGCTTCTTGCACAGTGAATAACCTCAAGGTACATCAGAAAGCTCAAGGCAAGAGCAAAGACCACCAAACCACTTAGGAAGAAGCAAGGGAGCAAATCCTTGAATCTTGGAGCAGGGCAGAAATCACTTAGCAAGAAAGAATGTAAACTAGGCTTCAAAATCCCAGAAACCTTCGCTTTGGGACAGCAATTACTGAGAAATGGTAAAAGAGAAGAAAGTCACAACATACATTCCTAACAAGATACACATATTCGTGCAACTAGATTAAGACAAAGAACCCAATTAAGAACTGGTTTAAACCAAAAATGGTATCACTTGTAATCACAACATTCAAGAAACTAAGGCAGGAAGATCAAAAGTTCAAAGCCAGCTTAGGATTCACAGAGTTCCAAGCCAGCTTTAGCTACAAAGTAAGACCCCATCTCAAACATACAAAAAAAAAAAATTAATAAAAGTTGTGTAAAATATTCAAACAAGAACTTGCAAAAATATAAACATCTGGAAACACAAGAGATTCTACTACACAGCCACACAAATGTCCTAAATCAAAGACCAACTGATCAAGAACTGATTAACAGTCAAAGCCAAAAGATTCCTACCCTGTCCCTGAATTTAAAAAGGTGTCCACTTAGAAAATATTCTAGCAGTTTTTTCTTAAGACTTAACTAAATACTGGGTATGGAATAGGTCTTTAATCTCTGCACTTGGTGTCACAAGCAGTTGGTGAGACTGAGGCCAGCCTGGTCTACATAGTGAAACCCTGTCAAAAACAAAACAACTTAATCAAGTATGTTAAAATACATTCATCTGACCCAGCAATGATACTAAGTACTCACTCAAAGAAAGAGTATTAGCATCTAGGGACATACATCCAAATGCCCCAGCATCTTTATTCAAAAACTGGAAAGCACTGAGATGTCCCTCAGCAGAAGAATGACAAACAAATCATGACACAGTCATATAAAGAAATTCTACAAGGCATAAACAGAACCAAACTATTTATAGATACATTTGGTGCAGTAAAAGAAGTCAAGAGTAAGAACATTTTAAGCAAAACCTGGATGAAGCAAAACTAACCCCATTAAGAAAGCAGATGGAGCCGGGCAGTGGTGGTGCACGCCTTTAATCCCAGCACTCGGGAGGCAGAGGCAGGTGGATCTCTGTGAGTTCGAGGCCAGCCTGGGCTTGGGCTACCAAGTGAGTCCCAGGAAAGGCGCAAAGCTACACAGAGAAACCCTGTCTGGAAAAACCAAAAAAAAAAAAAAAAAAAAAAAAACAACAACAACAACAAAGAAAGCAGATGGGGGGAGGGGGCAGTGGAGAGATGGCTCAGTAGTTAAGAGTACTGACTGCTCCTCCAGAGGACCTGGGTTCAATTCCCAGCACCCACATGGCAGCTCACAACTGTCTGTAACTTCAGTTCCAGGAAATCCAACACCCTCACAGACATACATGCAGACAAAACACAATGCACATAAAATATAGACAGACAGACAGACAGACAAAAGGAGATGGGTATGAGCCTGGCCTGGGGGAAGGGCTAACTGCAAAGGAGCCCAAGGCAGCATTCTGAGAATGACAGAATTGGCTATTTAAAGGATGGCATCACTTGTTAAAATGCAAGGAACCATGTTCATATGTGGCATGTAAGTTATGTTTCAGTCGAGTGAGTTTTAAACCACAGGCATCAGTAAAATCTTGGAGACGTAGACTCAGGAGGTAAAGTGCTAGCTGCGCAAGCATGAAGACCTGAGTTCAGAACCCCAAGCACCAACCAATAAATAAATAAACAAATCTCAACACTTGAGATGGAAATAGGATGACCTAGGACTAATGGCCATGCACTCTAGCCAATTAGGGAGCAGTTCATTCAGTGTGAGCCCCTACTTAAAAAAAAACCTGGATGGCAAGATATTTACAACTTTTGAACTCTTGCTTCCACATGTACTCATGCCAATGCACATATACACATGTATACACATGCAAACACATATATGCATATCACACACACCAAAAAGTTAAATGAGCCCCAGAAAGATGGACCATGGTACAACCCAGATCACTTAGGAGATAAGGAAATCCTAAGTGACCACCAGTGATGATTCAGGTCACCTTCAGCACAGAGAACCAGAATGATACCACTTGCTCAGCTGTAGTCCTGTGTCAGACAGACTTTCCACCCAAGATGCACAATCAGATCGGGGTGGGGCTCTGCAGAAAGGATGTATTGACTATACCTCAAGTTAGGAGGAGAAAAGGAGTTTAGGATGGCAGAAATGCAGGCAGAGTAGGCTTCCACTATCTAAGCTAGTGGAATATAGGGTCCCAGAGGGATGCCACAAGGAAAGAAACTCAATACGCTATATAGACCTCAATGCTGAAGCTTGTGAGGCGCCTGTGAAGTTGTATAGAGGACTCTAAGAACACACAAATGTAGTGAAGACTGCAAAAGAGCTCCATCTTTGCTGGATGCTAGGCAATTCACCCTGGATGGAGTGGGGAGAACATTTAGCCAGAAGCACACACTGCATCTAATGACTCTGACCAAGGAAAAAGCCTACAATCTAGCAACAACCAGAAAAGCCACACGCGGGGTGGGGGGGGGGGTGGGGGGGTGGGGGGGGAGTAAATAAGGATTGTAAGTTGCCATGGAAATGCTAAAGAAATAGAAAACCATGAAATACAAATAGAAATATTAAATAAGAAAGAAAGAGATGTTTATGAAAACTGAAGCAAAAAAAAAAAAACACAAAGTATCCTAGAGTGGGAATATGGCTGGATAAGCAGATACCAAGACACAGTTTAGAGTCTAACAGTAGAGTGCCAATGTGTCTGTGACCCAAGAACAAGGAACAGGGATGGAGAGTTATGTGGCAGTGTGCATAATTTTCATAATCTCAAATCAGCACGTATGTCTACCAGGGACAAATCAGAAGACAAAAATACGGAGTCTATTTGAAATATGGATGTAGCCTGACATGATGGTGTATGTTTGTATGTCTGCCCCAAGACCTGGGAGGCAGGAGAATCAGAGTTCACAGTCATCTTCAGCTACATAACAAGTTCGAGGCCAACCTGGGTTATCTTTTTCAAAAAAAAAAAGGGGGGGGGGTCAGGGGATAGTTTGAAAAGTAATTTGCCCCCATAAGCTCATAGGGAGTGGCACTATTAGGAGGTGTGGCTTTGTTGGAATAAGTATGGCCTTGCTGGAGGAAGTGTATCACTGGAGGTGAGCTTTGAGGTCTTATATATGCTCAAGATATGCCCAATGAGACAGACCACTTCCTGTTGCCTGCAAGTCAGGATGTCAACACTCAGCTCCTTCTCCAGCACCATGTCTGCCTGCATGCCACCATGTCACATCATGATAATAATGGTTCTAAACCTTTGAAACTGTAAGCCACCCCAACTAAATGTTTTCCTTTATAAGAGTTGCTATGGGCCTTGGTGCAGTGGGGAGGGGCTTGGACCTGCCTAGGCTCAGTGTGCCGGGCTCTGCTGACTCTCCATGGGAGACGTTGATTTGGGGGATGTGGGGATGTGGGGTGGCTTGGGAGGGAGAGCTGTGGGGTGGGAGGAGGGAGGAGGGAGGAGATGGGATCTGTGGGTGGTATGTAGAGTGAGTAGAAAATTTCTTAATAAATAAAAATAAAAATAAGTTGCTGTGGTCCTGGTGTCTCTTCACAGCAATAGAAAGGCTAACTAAGACAAGGGGCTCAGTAGGTAGGTAAAGTACTTGCTAAGTAAACATGAAGAACCAAATCAGATCCCCCAAAACCATGTGTTTCAGTTACAGTTTCTATTGCTGTGATAAAACACCATGATCAAAAGCAACTTGGGGAGGAAAGTATTTATTTCATCTTACACTTCCAGGTAACAGTACATCATTGAAGGAAGTGAAGGCAAGAACAAAGCAGAGGCCATTGGAGGAAGGCTACCAACTGGCTGGCTCTCCTTGGCTTCCTCAGCCTGCTTTCTTATAGCACCAAGGGCCACCAGCACAGGTGGTCCCTCCCACATTAATCATCAATCAAGAAAACACTAGAAGCTTGTCCACAGGCCAATCTAGTGGGGGTATTTTTTCAAGTGAGGTCCCCTCTTCCAAAATGACTCTAGCTTGTGCCAAGATGTCCTAAAACTAGCCAGGACAGCATGTAACCCCAAACACAGTAGCAAGCATTTAAAATTTCAGTGTTCCTACAGCAAAATGGGAGGTGGAGTTCCAAAGACTTTGTCTCAAGCAAGGTGGAAAACAAGAACCAACCCCTGAGGTTTTCTTCCACAGGCATGTCGTGGCATGTGCACATCTGTACTCCCACATGAATACATGTGTATACACACGTACACACTGATAAAAATCAACCAAGCACTCAAACACGGGAATACACAAGAAACTTGACTCCTCCCCAATAGTTATTGGCAAAGATTGTGAACAAGTACTATATACAAGTATCTCAGATAAAAATGACACCTCATTAGCTGTAACCACACATGTGCATTTCCACACACAAACCTATTTTTTTGCTCTACTCTCAGTGCCCAGGAGTAAGGACTGTCTGCTAATCTACTGGACACCTAGCTGGATACAGTATCATGCAGTCCTAAACAAACTCTAGTAGCTAGGTTCCAGCATGGGGAACAAAAAGCAGGCAGCTCTCGATCAAGAAGAGAGCTAGACAGGCATTTACCTTATTGATCCAGAATACCATGGCATCCTCGAGGTCATACGGAAGTTCTTTTGAGGCGCTGAATGTAGAGAATCGCTTGACACTGGCCACCACCTTCTCAATGCTGATCATCTCCACAGTATAGGCCATCATCAGGGCATCCACCATTGCCATGTGGGCACTCTGGGGACAGAGGCAGCAGTCAGTACTCTAAACCTCTTATGGGTCCCAATGCAAGAAAACTTTCTGCCTCAGCTTCCCTGCAAAGGATAACACTGGCTGGGCACTGTTCCAGACTGCAGCAGTGGTCCAAGGTCCTCATCTCTTATCAGTAGACTATAAGCTTCCTCTGTTGACCTGGAAAAGCTTCGATAAGAGGCTGCACCCTTCCTCTGCCTCCTAAGGCTCTGGGATGCCAACAGGACCCTCCTCTGTATCACACCCTACCTTCATTCTCTTCAGACCTTCTCTTCACCCACAACATGTCACCCTTAAACTGAGTGAAAAAAGGCATGGCATGCAAAATGCCAGGGAACGAGTTAACAAAAGCAATGCAAGGACATAGTGGGCTAGGTGTCTGGCTGATCTGAAGAGGCACAGCCTCTGAGGACAGGCAACTGATTCTGGCTAGTGCAGCTGTCCGACGGGAAGGCTCTGCAGTGGTGTGCCTCACCACAATTACATCTTTTCACTTCATTGCATCACAGTAAGAAGAACCAAAAGCAAGCTGCTCTTTCCAGAATGATGACAGTCTTTAAAATACAGGCGTGTCATTAACGACCACCAATACACATGGACAGACCTCACCATCTGTCACCTAACAGCAGGACACTGAGTCTTGCCTGCTCAGCCAAGGGAGCAGAAGGAATGCCTGTCAGAGACTTACCATCTTAATAGGTGCCTGGCTGAGGTCAGCATCTGTCACAGGGGTGTCATCACTCTCCATCACATAGATGCCCTTCCGGGACAGGGCCTGAATGACAGATTGGTGTCCTTGTAAGGTAGCCACCTGGTCCCCTTTTAGGATGAGGCTGCAGACACGGCAATACAGCTCACTTGACAGGAGAAGCTTGATGACGGGTGGCTTAATGTGCTCCTGCTCATACTGGTCGATGTAAAAAGGGTCTCTGAGGTCCTCAGGGATGTTGTCTATGACAAGAGAGAGCACTGGGTGAGTGGACATGCACAATCCAGTCTGGAGCATCACCAGATAGATGAGGACACACAGAGGAGAACCTTCCAGAACAATGCCAACCAAGGAACAGCCCACTGACAGGATGACAATAACATTCAAAGGTCCAGGGCCAACAGACAGCCTCATTAGCATGTGCACGACAGAGGCAATATTAGGCATTTTCAACTGCCATCATCACCTGAATGATGGTGGGACAGAAGCACAGAAGTCTTGGGGTCTTAGTGGGCTCAAAGGAAACAAGATGCCATGGGGCTAGGATGATGCAGCATCTGGTGACCCCAAATAGGGAGCTGTGAGCACAGTGGCTTTAGTTATTGGGAGGAAGCTCTGTGTGTCTTCTTTCCAACCAAAGTCAAGATCAAGGTAACAGCAAAGATTCAACAGCCTTCTCTTTAAGGAATGAGCCAATCTGGTGCCAGTGTAACCACAACAGAGCAAAGACAATCAGCTTTCACTCATCTTTGATTCAGGAAGCACACTATTTAACCACAATTCTATGGATCAGGACTAATGAATAATGTGCCCACAGGACAGACAAGAAAACTGAGGCACAGAAAAAAAGATGCCACAAGTCCAATGTCAAAAGAGACAGGAACCAATTGCAATCTGGTCTCTCATGCACTCACTGCCTACAGCAGACACAGGGGCCAAATGTATTACCACTGATTCTGTACCCTCTTTGCACCACCCTGGCCTTGTAAGACATCAATAGCTATCCTTTGTAGGTAGCACAAAGTCCTAAAGAAGAATCCCATTCCTTTACCCAGGGCCCCAGACCTTTGGTGTCTCTGTATCCACAATTGCAGAGAATGGAGAGTTCAGTCTTCTCAAACACCCCTACCTCCAGCAGAGTTTAGAAAGCTGCCATCACCAATAAGGTATTCGAATAAATGGGTAGAAATACGTTAGAAACAATCACTCCACAATCAGTGGACATTTGTGCTGGCTAATTTTACATCAATTGACACAAGCTAAAGTCATCTGAGAGGAGGGAACCTCAATTAAGAAAATGCCTCCATGAGATCAGGCTGTAGGCAAGCCTCTAGGGTATTTTCTTTTTTTCTTTCTCTTTTGAGATTAGGTCTCACTATATTGCCCTGGTTGTCCTGTAACTCACTATGTAGACCAGGCTGGCCTCAAACTCAGAGATCTGTCACCTGCCTCTGCCTCTCAAGTGCTGGGATTAAAGGTATGTGCCACTATGCCTAGTCCATTTTCTTAATTAGTGATTGATTAGCCCATTGTGGGTGGTGTCACCCATGAGCAGGCGGTCCTGGGCTATAAGAAAGCAGGCTGAGCAAGCCATGGGGAGGAAACCAGTAAGCAGCACCCCTCCATGGCCTCTGCATCGTCTCCTGCCAGGTTCCTTCCCTTTTTGAGTTTCTGGCCTGACTTCCTTCAGTGATGAACAGTGGCATGCAAGTGTAAGCCAAATAAACCCTTTCCTCCCCAACTTGCTTCTGGTCATGGTGTTTCATTAGAGCAATAGCAACCCGACCTAGGAAGAGATCCAAACTCCTCTAGTCCTGTGCCAGGTCTAGACACCACAGTGAAAGAAGGTCAGCTCTTCAGGAACTACCTCCCCCTGCCCCAGCATCTTCTTTCTCTGCTCCCTTCTCTGTTTCTGTAGGTACTATTTTCTGAGGCCCAGGTCTAATTACGAGTCTCTGGATCCTTGTTATTGTCTATAATCATTTTTAATTATTTATTATTATATATACATATGAGAGGTGCATATATGCCATACATGAGTGTGAAAGACAGGGCAGACTTGTGGATTTGGTTCTCTCCTCCCATCTTTACATGGGTTCCAGGGCTGGAACTCTGTTGGTTAGGCTTATATGACAAGCACCTTTACCCACTGAGTAATCTTGCCAGCCCTGCCCCACAGTCCCCAGACTTCACTTCTGATTCTTATTTCTTAACAACATGGCCAGAGTTTACACAGCACTTTAGTTCTAAAGCACTGTTGTGCACACAGGATTTGGTCACTACAGCAACTAAACTAGTGAACAAGGCTGAGCACCAGTGCCAATATAGAAGGCTGTAAGCACTCTGCCCAGGCTTAGTGGATGTCAAGTGCCATACATGATGACCACATTGGGTAGCCTTCTATTTTGAAGCCAGCTACAGTTCTAACACTAAATAGAACGTGGTGGTAATAAAAGAACGAGCCCTGGGTATTCCACATGGGAAGGCCTCTGCTTGCCCTGTCAGATGGTTGAGGAAAGAGTTGTAGTGCCATATGACTAGCACAAAAAGAGGGGAGGAGCCACACCACACTCAAGAGTGAGAAGTTCCATGGGACAGAGCTGAGAGGCACAGATCACACCAACAGAAACTGTGGGATCTGGCTCTGAACTGGTAAAATCAAGCAAGGTCCTGAGCTAGGGAGTCCCAATCCCAAGTCTGTGCAGCTGCCAGGAAAAAGAGACAAGAGTCACTTTAGGTGCCTACACCTTCTTTAAGTGCCTAGGAGCAGCATCTCGCCACCACGGCTCCCAGCAAGAGCTACTCCTTGCCTAACTTCCAGCCCATACCTCAAGCTCTGTCCAGGTCCTTCTTGCATGTTCAAAAATTCCAAGAACACATCTGCTTCACCCCTAGGAGACTTTGCCCACCTTGAGACTCGAAAAACCATGAATGTGTATCTGTCCAACATGTATACTAGCCCCAGGCACCTCCTCTGAACCACCTACATGACATCCATGTGATGTCTAGAGTATCTCAGGACACACTGGCTGGTCTAAGGCACTCTCCCTGCTCACCTGGATAGCCTAGGTAAGGTTCCTCTCTGAAAGCAAAAATAGCACAGCTCAGGAGCAACCCCAGAGTCTCACTCTGCTACAGGGAAGGAGATGACAGAACACCACAGAAGCACAGCCAAGAGCTGGCCTTGGACAGACCTAGGGAGGATCTGGAGCTCACAGTCACAGTATAAGACATAAGCAGCCTGAACTTGGAAACTAGCAAGACAGGAAAAAGCAGCCGAGCCACACGTCCAAGTGGAAATGTTTCCCTGGGTCACTTGCAAACCACCAGCCTGAAGTGGTTCATGTCAGCATCACATTGGATCCTGTACAAACAACAATCATTCCTGAACACTTGAGGTTCATGACAGGGAACAAGAACAATTATGTAGGTAGACAACAATCCCAGATCAGTAGACTCCACAACCTGTGAGTTCCCTCCAATCCAGCCATAGGGTGCTACAGCCCACTCAGCAACTGAATGAACTTCCTCTTCCTAGCCCTTCAGGGCAGAAACTGTCTCTAGCTCAGAAAGGGAGCCCCCATTCTTCCCAGTCCACCAGGGCAGTGACTGTTCCTAGAAAATACTCAGTTCAGTCCATGTCAGAAGCTATGTTTGCACACACCTATTCTTCTAATATCTAGTAGTCAATAACTATGCTTAAAGCAACATAGGGCTGGAGAGATGGTTCAATGGTTAAAAACACATATAGCTCTTGCAGAGGACCCAAGATTCCCAGACCTTTTATCAGGGTAGCTTATAACTACTTGCCTGCAAAGTTCCAATACCGGGGCTGGAGAGATGGCTCAGAGGTTAAGAGCACCGATTGCTCTTCCAAAGGTCCTGAGTTCAATTCCCAGCACCCACATGGTGGCTCACAACCATCTGTAATGAGATCTGGCACCCTCTTCTGTGTACATAATAAATAAATAAATCTTAAAAAAAAAAGTTCCAATACCCTTTCTGGCCTCCGTGGCAATATACTCATATGCATAACCCCCCCAACACATACACACACATAATTTTAAAATGATAATGATATTTTAAAAATAATACAAAGGCATTATAAATGCCTTCTGAGTGTTTTGGGTAACTTGTTTCTCTACTAAAGACAAAGACAGTAGTTTACAAACACTCATTCAACAATTATTAAGCACCTACAGGAACTGGGAAATGCATGAACACACTGGGCCACCAAAAGGAGGTAGAAGGCCGTCACCCTCAACAAATGCTCTGAGGCTCTGAAGAAGACAAAAAAAAAAAAAAGTAGGCAATTTCCATGACAAGTAGCATCACACTTGAGTGTGCACAGAGTCCAGCTTAGGAAAACAAGAAAAAAAACAAAACATGACAATGACTCTCATCTGACAACACAGTTCAGAATAGTGTAGAGGATTCTGTGCCTTCAGTGGGTCTGTCGAGGCACTGAGTAGGCTCATATACTCTGGAAGCACAGAAAAGGATAAACTAGAACAGGCTGTATTAGGAAATAATAGAAAGAAGAGGACAAAGAAATAATGTTTGCTGCTGTTTCCTACACAGAGTAGAAGACAGGCCTAGACACCAGCCAGGCACAGGACAGGACCTGTTACTAAACTAGGAACTATGGCCCAGAAGATGACCACGGCAGAAAGACAAGCTCCGTAATGGACATATGGCTAAGGGGGGTATAGGGGTGGGCATTCTGAAGAAGCTGACATGTGGGGACCACAAGCACAAACTAAAAATATAGCATTTATGTATGATATGTACGAACACAAAAAGATAAGTATCCATGGGGGCTGAGTCACCCAGAAAGAGGGCACAGTGAGAATGGAAGCTAGGCAGACTGGTGGCTCACCCTGTCCTAGGCAGGCAAGGAAGACAAGCCAAAGGAACTAATTGGTGGTCAGAAGAGATTGGTAATGATAAGGCCACCTCTATTCCACCCAAACATACCGGAGAGAGCCACCAAAATCAACATGCCTCAGCATCATCAGGGACAAATACACCAAGGGAAAGAAGGTTCCACAGCCTCTCTGTACAGTGTAGCCTCAGGTGTGTGCAGGCTGGGCTTCTAGTCAGAGGCTAGGAAGGGGACCTCAGAGAGTGGGGAAGGATTCCAAAACAGAAGGGAAGGGATGTCGGGTGTTGTGGACTATTACTTTAACTATGCAAAGATGTGTTACATTTGTTTATGCTGGTTTTTTTTCATTATGTAAAG